AAACTGAGTATATTTGTTGAGTTGACGGTTAACGTAATTCCTATATATATATATATATATATATATATCTGGAACACACAACAGGATGTAACCAATGAAGGTGGTAACTATGAAGATCGCTGCCTTCAGGGATGTGATGCTGCGTAGCCTGGAGACTTACCCGCGTTTCTGAGAAGTCTGCTGAACTCATCTTCTAGGTTAAACATCATACAGAGCCCGGATAGAGAGAGAGGTATAAAAGAATAATGGAGGAGTAATTGTAGGGGGCGGGAGAGAGAGAGATCATAACTTTTTGGAGGTTCCCAGGCTTCTTCTTCCGTTCGTCATTCTGACGAAGACAGTGTGAGATCGAAGATGATAGAATTGTAAGACGTAGCTTGAGACAAGGGCCGCGGAATTCTGATTTTCTTAATTAACTGTGAATGGCTCAGTCGGTATAGCGACGGGCTACGGGCTTGACAACCCGGGTTTGATGCCCTGCAGTGTAAGATTTTTCTCTACTTCACAGCGTCTAAATCGGCTCTGGGGCCCACCCAACCTCCTATCCAATCGGTACCGAGAGTCCTTTCCCCGGCGATAAATTTACAAAGGTTGGAGGCTATCCACTCGTCTCCATCAAGCGCAGACGTCAAAAATTGTGGCGCTGTACCTCCATATGTCTTCACGGGGACAAGTGTACATTTTACGACGTAATTTAGAAAGATGTTTCATAGTAGAATATGGAAAAATAGGGCTATTGTTTGTAAAGAGAGGGCGAGGTTAGGGGCCCTGAGCGAACCAACAGGATTTTTCGTAATTCCTTTTACGTCACCCAGAGATCCGGTCCCCACCATCCAATTATATGCATTCATACTGTTTGCTTTACTTTCAACATACCTTTCTACCCTAAATGTGGGTGCAGTTAAGTTTCTCCGAAATGTTGGTAACTATCTACTATACTGCACGGCGTCAGATCCCAAAAGTGATCTTCTGTCAGAGCACCTTGTTGTCAGTGAAGATAACGATATAGCCTGATGGCCCTGCGGTTCTCACGGCAATGACTATGAAGAGTACGGTCTTCTCGGTTGTAACACCGTGTAGTTTTGTAGAAGTCAGCCGACGTTTCGAAGGAACATATCGCCTACATCTTCTGGGTCGAATATTAAGCCTGCTCTGCTTACATTTTGTTTCCTGTTGGTGTGTTCCGTGCCTTACAGATCGACCCCAAAAACTAAAGGTTTTAATGACTAAGATGCGGGATTGGATCGGTGAATCCGTTTATTGGATCTTCACTAGTTGTAACTACAAATAATTGTAACACTTTCAAGATTACTGAAATTAAAACACATAAATAAAATCTTCTATCTCTGCTTTAACTAGCCATTACTAGGTAAAAATCTAAAGAATGGCTATTTCTCAGCAGAATTTTCCGTATCCGTTTCCTGGCAACGGATTTTAACACAGGAACTATAACAATCCCACTCCAAATATCACTGCACTACAGCACACATAAAGTCTTCAATTCACATGTTAAGTCTCCACAGGTCGAATTCTAATTCTTCTTCAACTGAAAACTTCCCGTGTCTATCCCCTACCGAGTACTCACTGATTGGTAGCGCCGAATGCCTTCAAGATAACTCTTGTGCACGCACTCCACGGAAAACGCCATCTTCTTTAATTAAGGATGCATGTTTACAGCTTCGTTGCCTGGCAGTAGACTTCCTATTGTTCCGCGCATTTGCTTGGTGAGGGCCACATAGAAAGCAATTTCCTCTGTATTGTTGTCACATGCTTAAGGGAGTGTTTACCGGCCTTTGCAGAGAAACTGCAGTTCTTCTATTGTTGCCTGTATTCGTTGCCGTTAGAATGTTTACGGACATTCCTCTATTGTTGCTTAACCTAGCAACGGATTCTTTACCAAGAATCTGTCTCCGCGGGAACTTGTTTACCAAACCGTTGCCGGGCAATGCGTTGACATGTCACAATATAATCTTCTGCAAAGTCTGCGGAACTGCACGAAGTTACAACCCAGAAGTTCGTAGTCATCATCAATACACAAGTATTTAATATTCCCATTTTACCACTAATACATGGCCGAATGAGTTAGAAAGGATTTCATGGTCGATCAGATTTGCATACACAAAATATCATTTATTTCTACCTTCACAAACTTACTTCTACATGAATGATACCAACATAGTCACATCCTGCTTTCTCAGATAAAGGTTTGAAATTAGCTGCCCTGTTAATTTTTATTTAATAAACTTGTATTTGTTCCTAATCACACAAAACATTTTTCGTTCGTAAAGCGGTAATAGGCTTAAATAAACAAAAATAGAAAACATGTCCAAACTCTAAGGCAAGGATTATAAAAATACGTAAAACAAACAAAAACAAAAATAAAAAAACAATACCTTAAATCAAATCCAACTTAATTTTACATGCATATATGTGCATTCATACAAATTGGCATGTAGAAAAAAGCGAGATCCGACCTAACTTGCAGCTTTTTACATTTGTATGTGTTATCTGTATTGGTATAACTTTTCCTTACGGTTTGGACGCTTTTACTATATTTATGTATTACACTTGTTACCTGTTTTACAGTCGAAACATGTAGTGTGTTATTAGGAATAAAAGACAAGAAGGACTCTTCATTAAAGATCGCAAGACCGTTATTCTCAGACCTTGAAAGACGGAACACAAAACAGAATGCAGTCATATAAAATTCTTTGGTAGATATCCGAAAAGTGCATTGTTTTCTTTAAGAGGTATCGTATGCTTATCTCTGTATGCACGATACATTTTCCGTGCATTAAACGCCCTGACAGCATTTTGGCAAAGAGCATAGGCTTTGAGGTTCCTGCTTCTACTCATAAGTTACTTCAGATAAGTTAGTAGCTTTCTTTCCTGTGGCGCTACAGCCCCAATTTGGGCCTAGGCCTACCTCCATGAAACTCTCCGTTTCACTTCGGTTTACTAGATCTTACACATACAGTAGAACTCCTTGGGCGAGTGATCAGCTCGTCGCAAGGCCTCTACCTTTAGACAAACACAGAAAAACGCACACAAACAACCATGCCCTGAGTGGGATTCGAACCCACGATCCCGGCTTCCGAGCGAGCGAAGACAGTGCATGCCTTAGACCGCTCGGCTAAGTTAGTAGTTAGTCACTGAAATATCCAATTAGTTTCTATATGTATAATATAAACTCCGTCGTAACTGTAACACTTTATTGTAGTTCTTGTCACCCTTCTTTCACATTACATGTTTCGGCCGTAATCGGCCATCATCAGGTTTATTTCACTACACGTAGCTGTCACACTGCTCTCAATATTAACATTAAAATTCCAGATTTCCAATTGTTCATTTTTTGAAGGAACGTCGGTTAACGCATTTACACGGTACCACATCCCAAAAGACTGCTTTCTTCATAGTCTCCGCCGTGAAAACTTCAAATCTTACATGTTCATTTTCTGTCGTCAATCGGCACCCGATATTCCAAAACTCCCCTTGTCGATTTTGTCAATTGTGTTTTATGAATATTCACACGTCGATTAGTTTAAAAAAATTTTAATTCTCATTTAGCTTTAATATTTAAAATTTAAGTTAATATTTAAAAACCAAAATCACAGAGATACCTGCTCTATGCTTATATATGCTGTAGTGGCCACCTCTTGCTTTCAGCACAACTCGCCTGTTATTTTGTGCAGGTTCTCTGTGTGCGTGCCACTGCTTTTCTTTAATACGTTTGAAAGAAGGGGGACAAGAACTACAATAAGTTTTTACATTTACGACGGAGTCTATATTATACATATAGAAGTGTGGAATGTAACAGGATGCTTAAATATAGTATAGTATCCAGTTAGTTATTGTGTTAGTCGTTGCTTTAGGTATATACCTAGCTAAGACGTTGCTTGGTTAGTAACTTAATCAGTTCAGAGTCTTAATTAGTTGACCAGTTATTTAGATGATTATTTAATTGGTTAATTAGTTAATTCATTAGCAATATAATTTGTTAGGATGATAGTGAATTACTTCTGTAACTTTTTAGTTACTTGGTTATTTTTAATTAATCAAGCAGTTGGTTAGCTAGTTTGCCGGTCATTTAACTGGCTAGTTACCTGTTATTCAGTTAATTGACAATATTATGTGAAGAGTACAGATTTTGAAGTTCTACAGAATTTTGCTGTGAAATTCAGTCATGGATGTTAGTAAGGATTCCCTTTTTTGCAGTTGAACCAGAGGCTCATGCAGACTACGTCCGTAAACGTCAGCACATATCAACGATTGAGACTACGTCGCCTTCGCGAAGCCTGCTGCAAGGGGCCCCTGGGGGAACTGCAGCCTACGCGGGTTACTGCACCCTTCGCAACGGTATGCCCCTTCAGGACCTCAACAACATAGGAAGCAAGCCTAAAATGGTGAGGGCAAACTTACCGGCTCCATGATGCAGTATAATAATTTCTGAGCTAAGCTAACCAACAAGAAATTCCCCGCCATTTCATCTTCATTAAATATTCTGTTAGAATGGACAAATCAGTCTCACGGCATTTACGAACTTCGCACAGGGTTTCTGTCTGAGAATATAAAGATAACAGACTATTTATGAGATCTAGGGAGGAGAGAAGGGCTTTTGTGAACATGGCAATGAACATTAATCTTCCATAAAATGGCCAGAAGTTCCTGATCAGTTGAGATACTCTTTACTTTTCAAGAAGGACTCTGATCCATAGAGTTTGTTAATTTGTTTAGGCGACTGGTTGCATGATTATTTCAAGTAAAATTATGCAGTTTCCTATTATTCCATTTTCTGCAGCCTCCTTTTAGATCCTTTCTCTTCGATCCAATTATTCTCAGAGTCTTTTCTTCCTTTTAGTTAATGTTGCTACTCCTACTGAAATTGTAACGTCCTTTTACTTTTTGTTCACATTTTATTACTGTTTCATTAACACGATTCATATAAATGTGATTTATGTATTCATTCAGTGCATTGGTTTTTCTGCCCGAGGAATACATTAATTCGATTGTAAATTCCTTGAAATAACGATCCTTATGAAAGTCCCACAACTCTGCCTGTTAAAAATACATTTAGTAAATATTATTAATATCTCTGAGTAAGTGTTCATAACTCTCTCACGTTCATTTATGAATACTACATGTATATCAATTAAATAAGTTACGTTCTGTGGGGAATTAAAAGTCGATTTATAGCACGAATATAAAATAATGTTTTGCTATGAAATCTCGATAACAACGAGCGTTAAAACCGGAAGAGAAGATTGTAGTATAATTTGTAAAGCATTAGACTTTTCGCTAGCCATAAAATCCTACTCTGGGGACTGGTTAGTTGCAAAATTAAACGTAATTGTTGTATCTCAAAAACCTTTCATCGGAAAAGAAGTAATGTACTTGTGTATTAGTGCATTTCAAACATTCGAATATTCGTCAGGAAATTTCGAAGGGGAAATTCTGTTTTGAAACGATCGCAATATCTTAACAAGGGCAGGCCATGTAGGCGCCCTGATGCTTTTCCTATTTGTACGAACAGATACAAAATATTAAATTCCTATATCTTGTGTACTTTAAGACTTCGGATTTTTTCATTTGACCTAATCCTTCCAGCCCCACTATGGCCCTGGGGTCGACTCAGTCTCTAACAAAAAAAATAGAGTACCAGGAATTAATTAAATAATTTTCCTGAGGAGTAAAGCGCGGCCGGCGCGTAAGGCTGACAAACTTACCGCCATCTTTGAGCCGATTGTCTAGATAATGTGGGACCCTCAACGTCTCACAACCCTATGGGCCTTCACGGCCTGGTACAGGGGTAGCTGTACTTTTTTTTACTTACTTTTTATGTGCGTTTCATGACATTTCTTTCATTCATTTCTGTGTCTGAAAATGTAAAGTTTTCCTTAGATAACGAGAACGTCTTAATGTCGTGTTTTATACCGTTTTTTTCAACCTGGGAATGCTTGTCGGACCGCCTTTGCACTTTCATCAGGACTGCACGCCTGCTCTGCTCTGCTCTGCTCTGCTCTGCTCTGTCATCTGAGTAATAATTAAGGTGACTGTGGTAGAAGATAATGATATATAAACACTGCCGCAATTAAAAAATGAGAACTGTGTTCACTAATGAAATTTACGAATATCTCAGTGACTTTAATTGCTACTCTGCATATGATATTGATGTTTACATACTACGTATATATTGTCCACCGTGACCCTGCGAGTCGTAGGAGGCGACGGAAAGGGTAGTCTCAAATCTGAGACAGTAAAATATGGTTACAAGTCCCAAGGGACTCGGATCCGAGAAAGACTGTGCTGGCAAGGACCAGCAGCATATACAAAAGACAGACCCGTCCTCTCATCAGACAGGGCGCCCCACAAAAAGAAGACCGTAACTGTCAAACAGTAATAAATATCTGGTCATGAGCCCCAGGTTGAGCTCGACACCAAGACTTACTGACTGACTGACCGTCAGTCGCAATGTGACTTTGATTCAGGCAGTAGACACCCGCGTGTAAGCGGGGTCGAATACCTCCACCGTGACCCTGCGAGTCGTGGGAAGCGACGAAAAGGGAAGTCTCAAATCTGAGACAGTAAAATATGGTCGCGAGTCCCAGGGGACTCGGACCCGAAAAAAACTGCGCTGGCAAGGGCTAGCAGCATATAGAAAATACAGACCCATCCACTCGTCAGAGAGGGCGCCCCACTAAAACAAGATCGTAACTGTCAAACAGCAATAGATAATCTGGGGCTCGACACTAAGAATTACTGACTGACTGACCGTCAGTTCAGTCTCAATGTGACTTTGACTTGATTCAGGCAGTATTGAGGATAGAGTACTTGGAGAGTATTGGAAGTACTTGGGAGTTCGTAGAAGACCTGTGAAGATTTATTGGAAGATCTCATGTGCAGTATCTGAACTGATTTGAAGTACCAATTCCTGTGTGGAGATCCGTTGCTAGGAAACGACTTATGGAAGAGAGAAAATCCTAGTGCGTATGCAACGGCGAATTGAGGTGTATGTAAATCAACGATAGCGCTGTGATTTGAGTGTAACTGAGAGAGTGCGTGTAACCAAGCTGTTAATAAATCCAATCATCTGAACTAGAACCCGTCATTTTGTCACGCGTACCCTCTACACGTGACAGTATTATTCTCTCATCTGTGAGTGGGTCTCCCAAGTGGTCGTTTTCTTCAGATTCTTCCTGTCAAAATATATTACATAATTTTCTATGCACGCGTGCTAAATGCACTCTCCATCATACGATCATCATAATCGTATTTCATGAAGAGTAGACCTGCAAATTATGAAGCTCCTCCTCAAAAAATTGTTTCCATTCTGTTATTTCTCCTTGTAGATCCAGGCAGTGTTCTCAGCGCCCTGTTCTGAACTCCACCAGGCCAAGTTTCAGTGCCATGAAAACAACGAACACTTACGAGTTCCATCCCCTGGTACATAATACTGTGTAGTCCATTGAAAGCCAACAGACGTTTCGGAGTAACATGTCTCTTCCATATTCAAGGTCGAAGAATAAGTAAACAGACCCTCTGAACCCCGGAAATGAAGCAGCATGTTCCTCCGAAACGTCGATTACTTTCAACAGACTGTTAGTAGCTCGCACTTTACTGTAACATATAATTTTTATCTTTGGAAAACCACATTAACCTTTTCTGTCAATAAATGATGGGACACGTTTCTTGCACTTAGTTGAACATGGACCAGTGGATTTAAATAAGACACGTAAGACTAATAGTAACGGGTTCCCGATTGGATGATTGCATTTATTGGCCCGTCTGTCTTTACAGTTACAACCAATTATAACAGCTCACAATCAATGACTCTGTAAGGCTCGCTCCATTCCTTGCTGGAGTACTAGTGTCTTCTCTTCTGCTGTGGCTGACTTCGTTGAGATTTACGAATCGGTCACTTCTTCAGCTTCCGCTGTCCGCTGGTTAACACTCCACAGCTGAACACTGAACTCTCTTATTAATGCCGAATGTTTGAAATCTCTTGAACTGAACTGAACTCTTCTTTTGTAACGTCAAGACGAGCCGAATATAGACCACCATCTCTAAGAGTTCGTCTGTTACTCCGTCTATTCGTTGCCGCATGAACGTGCTTACCGAACCGTTGTCTAGCAATGGACTATTCCGCGTCTATTTATTGTAGCGGGAACGTATGTTAATTTAATGGCGAGGCGTTGGCTATCAATGGACTATTTCGTCTTTCAGGCGTCATGTCTATATTTTTATATATATATACACACACTTGTATATTGTGGCGTATTTACGCCATGCAGGAATCGTTGAGCCACAGAAATCTGTAAACACGCCGATTACGCAACAGTGAAGCAAGGTACGTTTCCCGCTAGTCCGATGAAGAGTTTATAGGAGAAACTGGAATTCCTAAGAAGGAGTTCTTGGAGTTAGTTACGAGAGAAGCACGCGAGTGGAGTACAGACGAATACAGGAGGTCGGCCTATGAGGATGTAAAGTGTCATTAGAAGATTTTATGTGTAATATGTGATAGTAAGTGATAGCTGAGAACTTAGCAATGAAGATGTTATATTCTCTAGCGCAGCGAGATTGGGAGTGCGTAATCCGGTGAGACTTTATAGCTCCCGTGTTATAAACATGTGAAAACTACAGCAGATAAAGTGAAAAGATTAGTGTGTAGTGAGTGTAAGTTGTGTAAATCGGTAACAGTAATTGTAGTTACGACTTGTAGGTTGTTAATGAAACCAATTACCAATCCGAACCGCGTCTTCAGTAGTCAGTCACGTTATATATATAATATATATAGCGGTTGAAAAGTTTATAAAGTCTTGAATATAAACAAATAATTTGGTCATCAGAAAATAAATATTAGTCAATTTTTGTTCTGTATTTTTGCCTCCTTGCTGTAACTCTCGACTCTGCTGGGAAACCATGACTGATTTGTTCTCTTTTTACATTTTGTCCTGAGCGCACACAGACCAGACACGAGACTGTGGAAATTCAAACTTAAAAGAGTCCTTCATTGTTTTAACTTCCAAGATTCGTTGACCCTAAAATTCTTTTTTCTTTAATTCGGCAGTTTCTAGATTTCTCCATCTGAAAATGTCAGTTTGACCACACAATTTTTTTGATCGCCCGTGGTGATCAGGCGACTAGGATATCGTATTTTTCGACCCGTGTTTTTGTGTTTGCTTGCGTGTGCAGGTGTGTATTCTGCTTGGTAAATTTGATATATGCAGGCCTCGCAGGTAGCCTGAGTGTTACTCATTGTCTTACAGTACAAGAACGTTGCCATTGCTGATTAAAGGGATGGCTCAGCCACTACAGCGGCTAGGCTAAGAGAGACGACCGAGGCATCGGGAATTGATTATGCCACGAGAAGGAGATTTTTCTCTTCGTTATAACATCCAGACAAGCT